TGGAGAAGTCCAATCCCTCCTTCCTTTGTTCCCTTAGAGGACCACCTGCCCTGAGCCAGGCAATGACCATGGTGATAGAACAGCTTGAGGTGCTTATGTTGGGGGGTGGGGAAGACAACCAGTACAAACAAATCAGTAGATAATTCAGCACAGGAGGTTAGCCGTGACATGGAGGAAAATGAATTCTATTTTTTTTTTTTTTGCCCTAGTTGCAGCCCTACAGACATTAGAAAACAGTCACACTGGGCTGGGGGTGCAGCTCAGGGGTAGAGTGCTGGCCTCGCATGGGCAAGGCCCTGGGCTCAATGAAATAAAGAAAGAAGGGGGGAGGGAGGAAAAAGAGAGAAAAGAAGAAAACAGCCACATCTTGCTAGAGCCTTCTCTATAGCCAGCTAAGTACCCCAAACATTTTCTTTTTTTAATATTTATTCTTAAGTTTAGGTGGACACAATATCTTTATTTTACATTTATGTGGTGCTGAGGATCGAACCCAGTACCTCGTGCATGCTAGGCGAGCGCTCTACCACTGAGCCACAACCCCAGGCCCTGCACGTTCTTTCTGCCATTCCTTCTAGGACAGGGGTTCAAGTCTCTTCACCATCTCGTCCACCTCCTGAACCCCTCTGGTTTCTAGAAAACTGCCTGAAAGGGGACACAAGCCCCTCAGCTGTGGCCTAGCCAAGAAATAGCCTACAGGATCCCCAGAGCCCTGGTCCTGGCCCCCTGGTCTCCATGGGTTTCTGTTAATGCAGCTGCTGCCCACCTCTGTCCTTGGAAGCCACTTCATACCCCTGAATCACCCCAGCCACAGGCACTGAGCAGCCCCAAGTCTTCCCTCAGGAACTTTCTGAACCGCCTCTCTCCCAACTACCTCTACCCCTAAGTGCCAGGGATTGTATTTATCCAGGTAGTTTCATCTGGCTTGAGGTTTCCTGACATGAGTCAGAACTCTCTTCCAGACAAATTACCTCTCAAAGTCTGATCCTTCATCTCTCAGGCAAAACAGGGGACAATGACAAAGGCCAAGGAAGAGTCTTCTCCTAGGTGGCCTTGCTCTTCTGTGTGGACTCTTGATGTGTGGCTGCGGGAGGGTCACAAAACCCTGGAGGGGTGAAAGTTGCCTGCTCAAGTACAGCCACATGGCTCTTGAGAAAGCCCCACGTTCTGGCCATCCATCTGCCAACTAGTTGGTTTGAAATCTTACAGATTGAACTTTCTGATCCTTAGATGATCATCAGAATCACATGGGAAGCTTTTTTTTTTTCTTAATGAAAAATTTTTATTTATATATGACAGGGGAAACATTTTATTTTATTTTTTGCAGTGCCAGAGGTTGAACCCAGAGCCTCACACATGCTAGGCAAGGGCTCTCTATCACTGAGCCACATCTCCAGCCCCATATGGGGAACTTGCAAAGAAACAAATTGCCAGGCTCCGTTCCGTCCAGGGTGGAGCCCAAGAATGTGTGTTGTTTTGTTTTTTAAGCCCTGGCATTATTGACTCCATACTGGCTCCTAAAGGAACCACTGCCTTTTTTGAACACCAACTGGGGAATCATTCCAGAAAGCTGCGTCTCTGTGACTCTCTTCTGGAAGGTCCTCTTTGTACACGAGACATACGTAGACCTTCTGACTATCCTGTCTGACCCTGAACAGATATCAGTAATTTACCCAAAGACCCAACAAAGCTGTAGGGTAGAGAATGAGAGGTCAGAAGTCCCCACCTCAGGGACCACTTCTGGCCTGGCTGTTGGTTTCAGAGTTCCACCATGCCTGACCTGCTCCTTGGTTCTGCAGGACCTAGAGGACAGGGCAGAATGGGAAGTGAATGGGGATGTGTCCTCGAGGGCCAGTATGGGGGTGAGGTAAGTGAGGTGCAATATTCAAGGTGGTGCCAGAAAGCTGGGGAATCAAGAAAAGAAACATTTTAATATGATATTTTAAAAATCAAAATTACTGACAAAAACTGATGATACCTTGATGAGCACAATATCAAAATTTTAAATAAAGATAGGATCAGTTGTGATGTGAAGCCAACGGAGAGCCCAAGGTAGAAGGAAAAACCAGTAATAGAAACAACATGGAGGGCTGGGGATGTGGCTCAAGCGGTAGCGCACTTGCCTGGCATGCATGCGGCCCCTGTTCGATCCTCAGCACCACATAGAAACAAAGATGTGGTGTCCACCGAAAACTAAGAAATAAATAAATATTAAAATTCTCTCTCTCCCTGTTTAAAAAAAATTTTAAAAAAAGAAACAATACGGAGAACAGAAAAAAACCCAACTCATAACTTTTTAAATATTCTCAGAGATGATATTTCATCCATGACATAAGAACAAGAAGCTTTCTTAAGAGAAAATTATCTGAAAATAATAGAGCTCTAAGAAATTAAAACTATGATGTAGGGAATAAAAACAATACTTTATAAAAATAAGGATGAAAACAATCCCCTGAACATGAAACAATAATAATAACAATCAAACTAACCAATAAACAACAACAAAAAATGCAAAGGAGATAATAGAAGACAGAAGAACATTCAAGAATGACATCCAGAAACTGATGTCTAGGAAAAAAAGAGAAGATGGGAGGGAAAAACTATCAAAGAAAGAAAGCAGAAAAGAAATTTCCAGAACTGAGGGATGTTAAGTCTCCAGATTGAAACAGTCCACCAATGTCCAGTGTGGTGAAGGAAAGAGCCAAAGTGGGCAGCCCCGTCACTTTCAGAAGACTGGGGTTATGGGGACACCCTGAAAGTTTCCCAAGGTCGATACAAAGATCAGGAACAAAAATGACACCAAACCTCTCCACAGTGACATCAGAAGCAAGAAGACAATGGTGAGATGCTGTCAAACTTGAGGCAGAAAATTATTTTTTTTTTAAGAGAGAGAGAGAGAATTTTAATATTTATTTATTTTTTTAGTTCTCGGCGGACACAACATCTTTATTGTATGTGGTGCTGACGATTGAACCCAGGCCGCACACATGCCAGGCGAGTGCACTACTGCTTGAGCCACATCCCCAGCCCCAGAAAATTATTTTTAATCTAGAAGCCTATGTTCAGTAGAACCATCGATCAAACGAGAGCACAGAATAAGGCATTTTCAGACCTGCAAGTTCTCAAGAGAATTTCTTCCCTCCTGTGAAACCTCTCTTTTGTTTAGTTTAGGAAAATAAATAGCCAAGGGGGTGAAGCAGGAAAGAGAAGACACAAGGTCAAGGAAATTCCCAACAGGGAATCTGACACAGGAGAGAGACAAATGAGAGAAGGAGGCCCGGGGATGGTAACTGGGGGGCAAGTGAACAGCTCATCCAGATTGGAACAGACGCCAGGAAAGAGGTTTCTAGGAGGGGAAAAAAAAAAGAACTGACAGGTTTGGCCACACGGAGAATTATATTTGAAGTCAAAGGATAATGTATAAGAAGAACCAGAGGTAAGCGTGGGAAACCAAGGGGGCAGGACATAGCAGGGTCCCAGGAAGAATGAAAATTGTACAAGAAAAGGACATGACCCTGCTTGGATCAGGTGTGAACAGGATTCAAATGATAATAACAAGACAGGATTGAACAAAAAGATTCAGAGAGGGAGCACATCTATGCTGGGGGATGGGGGAATATGAAAGCCAAATCTTCATCCACCATGAAAGGCAGCCCAGGGACCTAACACTGACCTATCAAGAGGGGCAGTACAAGCAAAGACTTTGCAAAGACAGAGGTGGACGCCTGTAGGACAGCTGGCAAGGCACCTGCTGAGGACGGTGGGCAGTGTGGTCCGGGGGGGGGGGGGGGCTGGTGGGGCTGCTGTGTTTGTTTTAGGCTTCTAGCACTGTTTTCCTTCTTTCTTTTGAACAGGGGCCTCGTGCTGCCCAGGCCAGCCCTGAACTCTTGGGCTCAAATGATACTCCTGCCTCCTACTTGAACTTTTTGACTATCTGCAGGTTTTTCTTTAAGAAAATTTTGTTTTTAAAACATAAAATAAAGAAGCATATGCTGAGAACTGCATCTTCTTGATGATTTATTTATTTATTCATTTATTGGTACTGAGGATTGAATCAGGGATGCTTACTCACTGAGCCACATCCCCAGCCCTTTTTTATTTTTTATTTTGAGACAGAGTCTTGCTAAGTTGCTTGGGGCCTTGCTAAATTGCTGAGTGTTGGCCTTGAACTTTTGCTCTTCCTGCCTCAGTCTCCTGAGTTGCTGGGATTACAGACTTACACCACAACTTCTCATTTCAGTTTTTCTGCATCCTGAGCCTCTACCCTCTTCGCTGCCTGGGCACACCCATGCTCTCACCCTCACACTTATCATAGACACATAAACACTAGACACACGATCATGTACATAATACACAAAGCCCCTCAGACACACATGCAAACACACACCCACTGATACACACATTCCCAGAAAATAGCGATTCTAGATTTGCTGAAGGAAACAGATGCTTAGTCTTCCAGAGAGCTGTGAGGAGGGCTTGCTCCCTGGCCCCTCCTCAGCAGGTTCTGTCCTGGAACTGTAGCCTAATTGCTTTCTCTACCCAGCCCACGGCAGTGTGTCCCACCCTCAGGTTGAACAGACTGTGTCTCTGCAGCCATGAACCTTTGAGGGCCCCACTATCTGTAGATGGGGCAGAAATGGGGGTGGGAAGGACCTGAACTGAAAGCTGGGATGTAACTATTAATGCCACCTTGGGCTTTTTCTGCCCTGGGTTATGGAAGAATCCTGTGTCGGGAACCCTGTTACTAGGCTGTGCATCTGGAGCAAGTCAATTTACTTCCCTGGGTCCTAGAGGAGGTAGGCAGACTATCAAGCTCTGAGATGCTGGGATGTTAGGACCCATCTGGGCTCTCCTTCCATCCCCACCCCACCCCCACCCCTCCATCTCCACTCCAATCTCCAGGGCTGATCCCGGTGATGTGTCTGCTTGTCAGATCAGTGCACGTAGGGCATCTGGAGAACCCCACCACACTTCTCTCCCACTCCGCGTTCATCAGCACTCACCACCACCCTGGTCCTGTTATCCGGCAGTGTGTCGATAGCCAGGGTGCCCCCACCCAAGTCCTGGCTCAGCTGGGTCCTGTTCGGCTCTGACACCTGCCTTTCTCGCACTCTCTGATTCCAGCCCTGTGTGGTCCCCTTGGCAGCCCATCCAGGGCCTCGGCCTTCATCGTGACCTGGGGAAGATGCAGGAAATTGAGTGTTAGCAGGGCAGGGTACAGATCCGAGGGAGACCAACCCGATTCTGCAGAGGCCTCAATGCCACGCCATCATTGACTCTGGGGATGCTTGAGTACCCAACATGTCCTGAGAGCCATGTGCCCAGTTCCATGTCAAGCAGCTCGTGCACACAATGCTCTGAACCTTCGCATTAATGCTCCACAGTAAATACAGTGCACTCCATTGTGCAGACAGGAATCAGAGGCTCAGAGGCTGCAGGTCACACAGGTGATTAGACATTGAGATAAGTTTCAAACCCAAGTTGATCTGCCTCCATCCGGTGACTATTCTCCACCTCAGCTCACACTGGAATCGCCTACGGAGTTTTTAAACCTCCAGATGTCTGGGTCCTCCCCTAGAGGTCTGATGTGTCCCTGGCATTAGGTCTCTTAAGACCCGCAGGTGAAATTTAGACAATTAGGGGAAATTTAGAGAAGTCCTGATCTTAAAGAACTCTGCAACAAGCTGGGCATAGTGACATATGCCTATAATCCCAGCGACTCAGGAGGCTGAGGTAGGAGGATCACAAGTTCAAGGTCACCTCTGCAACTTAGTGAGACCCTGACTGAAAAGAGAAAAATAACAGGGTGGGGGATATACCTCAGTGGTTCAGTGGTAGAATACCCCTGGGTTCAATCCCCAGTACCAAGGGGGAAAAAAAAAAAAAAGAGAAAAGACAACCTCTGCGAAAAGGGTGAGAGCCACTTCTCTGAAATATAAACCAGGTCCTTATTCTATCTGCCAAAATTGCTACATAATCCTATCTTCCAGGGGACTAGAAGCCAGAGAGCAGAGACCTTCCAGTTCAGGGTTTCCCAAATTTGGTACTATTGATATCTTGGACTGGATAATTCTTTTTTTTCTTTTAATTTTTAAAATTATAGTGAAATACACATAAGAATTACCACTGTAAGTATGCTATCACTTCTATCCATCCCCATAATGCTTTTCATCTTGTAAAACTGAAACTCCGGGCCCCTCCTCCTCTGTCCCTAGTCTCCGGCAAGCCCCCTACTCCGGTCTGTCACTCCTATTTGACTGCTCCCAGTATCTCATGTTGAGGCAGGAAGGTGGGTCTCCCACAGGCAGATAGGATCAGAGCCTTTGGACGACAGGAGGGAAGGGAACACGGGTCTGAAAGACACCTGCGACCTGCTGCTCCCTGCCAGCCCTAACCACAGGGCCTCCTTTTGAGGTGGGGTGCTTGTTCCTGTTCCCCACAGCTGCAACCCCAGCAGCCCTTCCTTGCTTGCCCCTCCCTTCATCCCTAGCACACCCAACCGGAAATGCCTTCTCCTTCCAAAACCACGCGAGACCCATCCTCTTAATTATGTAAATAAGGATTGAAATTATGCACTTCTGATTGGCTGATGAAACTCAGAGTTTAGAGAGCTTGATTGGTCCATGCTGCATCCCTCACCCCATTGATCATCTACACTGTGGCCTCAGACACACCTTTAAAAACCCCCAAGGCAACAGATACCTCCTGCCCATCCCCTCTGGGAGCTAGGCTTTCTATTACACAAATAAATACAGTTACTTTGCTCGCATCCGTGGATTCATTCCTCAAATTTGTGGGATAAAGAACCTGACTGCCTAGATTCAGTGTTAGAATGTAAGTGGATTCCTGAGTATTTGTCTTTCTGTGTTCAGCTTATTTTACTTAGCACAATGTCTTCTAGTTCCTTCCATGTTGTAGCATGTAATAGGAAAAATACACACACACACACACACACACACACTGGGGATTGAACCCAGTGTGTGTGTTATAGGCATTGCTGAGGCTGGCCTTGAACTTTTTAAAAAATATTTTTAGTTGTAGATGGACACAATACCTTTATTTTGTTTATTTAGTTTTATGTGGTGCTGGGGATCAAACCCAGGGTCTCATACATGCTAGGCAAGCACTCTACCACTGAGCTACAACCCCCTGGACTCAAACTTTTGATCCTCCTGCCTCAGCCTCCCAAGCCACTGGGATTACAGGTGTGTGCCACCACACCTGGTGATTTTTCTTTTACAGTGCTGAATAATATCCCATGCATATGCATGTACCATATTTTGCCTCTCCATTCTCTGTCAATGGACAGTTGGGTAGCTCGCATGTTTTAGCTATCGTGAGTAATGCTCCTGTGATCATAGGTGTGTAGACGTCTTTGAGATGCTGTTTTCAACTCTTTTGCATATATACCCAGAATTAGGATTGCTGGATCAGATAATAATTCTATTTTTAATTTTTGGAGAACCTCCCCCAACAGTTTTCCATTGCTGAGCTGTTCTGTATTCTCACCGAAAGCGTACAAAGTTTTTATTCTCTCCACAGCCCCACCAAGTCTTGCTATTCTCTGCTTTGATTTTGGTTTGTGGTAGCAGCCATTCTGATGGGTAGAGTTTTGATTTCCATTTCTCTAACGATTAGTGAAGTTAAGCATCTTTTCATATCCTTACTGGCTATTTGTATATCTTCTTTGGAGAAATGGAGAAATGTCTATTTAGTCTTTTCCCCTTTTTTGGGAGGTGGGTACTGGAGATTGAACTCAGGGGCACTCGACCACTGAGCCACATCCCAGCCCTATTTTCTATTTTATTTAGAGACAGGGTCTCCCTGAGTTGCTTAGCGTCTGGCTTTGAACTCAGGATCTTCCTGCCTCAGCCTCCAGAGCCGCTGAGATTACAGGCATGCACCACCATGCCCAGCTTTGTCCATTTTAAATTGAGTTGTTTTGAGTTGTTGGTGGGACTGGATAATTCTTTGGGGGTGGGGGGGGCCTTTTCTGTACTTCGAGGGTACTGAGCAGCATCTTTGGCCTCTATCTGCTAGGTGTCAGTAGGACCTTCCCATGCCCCTAAGCTACGACAACTGAAAATGTCTCCCGACCTTGCAAACATCTCATAGGAAACAAAATCACCCCTCCTTCTCCCCAGTGAGAACTGCGTCTTCAGCTTCACGCTCCCGTCAAACACCCAGGCAACCACTATCCTGTCAAACAAGGGGCTTAGATACCATCCAGAACGGGGAACAGGTTTCACCTCAAATGCCCTCTCCAACTGATTAGTGACAACCAGGAGCCCTCTAATTGAGAAGAATTCTGAGGCCTCATTTGTGTTTAGCAGGAAAGATTGTCACCATCAATTAGACACGTCAGCCACGGGGCACAGGATTAGCAAGTGGCCGCGCTCAGGCAGCGCGTTCCAAGACTCCACGTTCTCTCCAATTCCCTCTAGGTTGTTAAATTAATCCTAAATGACACCAAAAGCATCTTTTCCCATTTCAGAGAAATTGTACCCCCTGAGCTGTGCCTCATATTGTTATTCCAATTATCACACCTACCTTGGGTAAGACTCAGATTACCAGACAGATGGATAGGACATTCTGCACATGTGACCTTCATCCACCTCAGGCCCTCTCTGGGTCAGATGCCCTCCTCCTCCTCTACCTCACCCACTCCACCTCCCAGAACTCTCAGTGGCAGGACTAGGCGCCTATCTCCCCGGGACTCTCTCCACATTCCTCAAACACTACCTTGCAAACAGTAAGTGCTCAATCACTGCCCTCTCAAGGACACGATGCTGTAGGAGGCAGGAGGCAGCAAGGGCAGAGTTTGAGACAGGCCTGGCCAACACTAGGCCTGGGGCTAGGGCCAGGACACTGCTGTGGGGCTCTGGTTTGTCATTAGACATTTTATCCAATTAAGTCATTCTTGGCTGATGGTGCTCGCTGGACCCTTGCCGGGCCCCTCTCACTTCTCTCTCCCTAATCACAACCAGATGCTCCTGGAGAATGTGGGGAGAGGGGCAGTCCCAGGCCCCTTCCCTGGATGCCCTCGGGCTGTCTATAGATGCCCGGAGGGCAGCTGCCCACCTCCCCTGGGCCAAGCATTTGACCCCGAGGGCGGGGCCCACAGTTGTTTCAGAGAAGGAACTATTTGTGCCGGGCTGCACAGCCAACCGGGCTCCTCGGGTCCTCCTGCAAGCAGCCCTGGGGCCTGGGCAGGAGCCAGACTAGAAAGGAGTATGGACAGAACAAGAGGAGGAGCTCGGCCAGCTCAGAGGGGGCTGCCAAAGACCCGCAGCTGTCACCAACCTGGGACTGCACCAGAGGGAGGGCGCTGGATGGCAGAGGCCTGAGGCCTAGGCAGAGGGAGGGATGGGGAGCCCCGCAAAGTGGACAGGGAGGAGACTCGGGGTGTGCCTCTCCTCCCACAGGCTGTAGGACCTTGGACTTGTCACTTTACCTCTGTAGGTTGCAGCTTCCCCATTGTTAGACGAGGATGACAAAGGTGCCCGAGGCCCAGGCTGCCAGGAGCATCAGGAGAAAAACAGGAAGTGGGGTTGGAGGTCAGGCTTAAGGGCACATGGTCCATGCCAGACAGCCAGGGGCCTGTCCTCCTCTGGCCTGGCCCCAGGGTCCCCTCCCAGCCAGACCATATCTGCCTCCCTTCCTCCTCCCAGTGGGCTTAACTCAGGAGAGGAGCCCAAGCAGGG